GGTATACTACGAAGCAGGATTTTCGCTTAGCCGGCTACATTCAGGGAAAACTCCGGCTTTCCGGTCCTACGAAGCTGGTTCTCTTTTTAGCAGGCTAGATCTCCATGGTAATTTATGCTTAGCGGCTAACCTGGTCGGGACCAGGTTAGGTTGCAGGCTAAGAGCTCAACTCAGTGAAAACACTGCCTGCTGACCAATCAGAGCTCAGTGTGCGGAGTTTAAAGCGATCAAGTCATATTACAGGAGAAAGGAAATACAGAAAAGCTGCCGTCGCAGGAAAGACGGCCGGCAAAAATCACCGACTGTGTGAACGTGAACATTAATAGAATATCACCTCCCATCTTCAGAGCAATCTGACTAGTATAACATTAGCGTTAAGAAAGCTTACTTAAATATCTGCCACAACATAAGTAACCGGATCAGAGTAACATTAAGTAGGCTACAGTCCGCGGCATATCACTTCATAATGTATCATATATTTTCTTATCTGAGTCAGCTGAGCCGTATCTGGCCGTGCAACACTCACAGTGTCACATACTGTATGCAGAAGTATTATTTTAAGCAACACATTAAGTTGACGAAACACTCGAGACAAATGTAGGCTAATTAAAGTCAGATCGTGTTTTAGACGGGGCAGTGATATCATAAACCTGTTAATGTACGCATTCAAACACTTTTTCTTTTGCCAGCTGTATTCACCTTGCAGGTGCAGCTATATGGCTTTTATCCTGGATAAAGTGTTTAAGTCATGGATGTTAAAGTTTAACTTCTTCATATTTGACTAGTATTAAAGTTCACTTTTCATTCTGGAAGTATGACGCTGCGCTGTCAGTGCGCTTCTCCATGTTTGTGATTGGTCGAATGCTCCAGATACCACCCCTTTCATGTGAACGCGCACCTAACTAGATAGGACACGGCTTGAGCGATCCACTTGATAACCAGCGTCGTAGTACAGTTTAGCGAGAGCGCGTATGTTTTGGATTAGGCCAACCGGCTAACTCAAACATATCCAGGTTAGGTTGAACCAGCTTCGTAGTATAGGCCCCAGCTCGAGTGCGCTAGAATTTGAAAATACACAACCGAAAAAAATCTGCCACTTCCTTACAGAGCCCCTCCTCCAACACACACGAACGTGCACACGACCAATGAGGGCACGAGATAAGTTTGTGCACAGATGGAAGGCTGACAGGCAGGTAGGCCATCCAGTTACTTTAGCCGGGCCGGCTAAAATGATTGGTCGTGCTTTTTACAGCGCTACGGCTTCCACAGATGACATTTTTTTATGGATTTTTTGTCAAAGCACTTCAGATATTCATTGCTATCGGGATGTTAAGAGCATTCCATGGAATATAACAAAAAGTGTATCTCGAGCCGGTTTCTCAAACTTACCTACCCCACCTTTAAATGACTGAATTTCCCGAAAGTCTTCTTGGACAGCTTAAGCAAAAGACAAAAGTTAAATAAGGACCTGAATAACGACCTATGAAACATATTAAGCAACGCAGATCATTTGGTAGTTTTATGTGTACTTGTGGGAGAAAATGTTGTTCAGTTGTTATTTGTAGGCATGAAAATAAAATTGAGCAACACTAAGAGAAAAAAGTCCGACAGGCATCACAGTCTGTGTTTCCTGTGTCCGTGTTGCCACAGCTCACTCTCTGTCTCCATGGATCCTGAGGATTAATGAAACCGGCTTCTCTTCTCTGCACCAAAGAAAACAGGAGTGCACTTCTCCAGCTCCTCAAACAGCGTCTCCCTCCTCCTCCTTCCCCCCCCTCTCCCCTTGCAGGTGGCCCCGTTTGCTACTTTGAGCGAGGCTTCAGGGCTACGGGAGGAATTCACATGTAAATAGGCCACTCGCTCTCAATAGACTGGGGGAAAAGAATGAATCCCATCATGATAACCTTGCATAATAAGCAGGCTGGGACTGTGCATATATTGCTTTCTTCTTTTTAAGTACACAATGGGATAAATCTCTAAACTCAGCAAAATACGAGAACCCTTTGGAGGTGGATTTATGGGAAAGTGAAGTTGTGCATTTTGCCACAAACATCGCTCTGACCTGACCATGCAGATAAACAGCTTTATGGTATAAATGTAAAACTTACCCAACAGCATCACAACAAAACTAGCCTATTTTCATATAGACAGAAAGATTTTGGTTTTTAAAGCATTTCTTTGTCTGAGCATGCATCTCATTTATTTAAATATTTTTCCTTGCATGGACCATTTAAATGTATCCTAATGCAATCCTAATTTTTCAGATAAATTCAGCTTTTAGTACTCAATTAAATATCTTATTGTCATCCTTTTTAAAAAACAAAACAATGAAAAGAGCTCAGTTTATCTTAAGCTTGGACACCACCGGCTAAGATTCATCATGTTGTTGATGAATGCTAACTTGTGCTTAAAAATGACACATTAAACTTTACTAGCCAGAACAAAATTGATTTTTACAAGATAAAGACAATTAACTTGTTAAATGCCTTGTCTTGGTAAAGCTAAGGAAGATGCCTAAATCCACATTGATTAACAATTAGTGGCTGTTCCCAACCTTATATGTGTGGGATTTGTTTTTTCTCATTCCCGTTATTTTTTTCTTTATTTGAAAAGGCAATATTATGTACTTGGTGGTTGAAGCCCTTTCTAGGCTTGTGTGAACATGAAGTTCACCCGGTTGAATCACCAAAACATGTTTATACAAAACATGATTTTGCAATACTCGTTTCGTAATTTTCTATTTTGATGCGAAGCAAAAGGTACCTATACATCTGCAAGCCAAAAGTCAACTCCAATTCCCAAGAAGCATTTGAGATAGAATCCAATCCAGGATTACAGAATGGGTCAATGTTGGTTGAATTTGTGTGGCGTTTTGTCCTCAATTGAAACAAAGCTTTCTGAATTTGCTCTTATTAAAAGTGCTGAGGCAGTAATGGCTAAATATCATGGGTATTGTAGAATGTACAGCCATCTGCCAATATCATTTCCTTAAAAGGTGGGTTTAAATAATTATAATGGATGAAGACAACATTATAGAAGTATACTTGAGAGTCCATCATAACTCTTTTCTATTTTGAGTGTTTCCAGGGTGTGACTATGTTGAGGAACATTGAGGATGTCATTAAAATAAAAACTTTGACGTGGAATTTACTCCTCGTCATCCAATACGTCATTGCTTCACACACGTCTTCACAAAACACAAACATTATTGAACATGTTGTACAGTATTAATCAGCTGTGTGCGGCCCAACCTGTAAAACTAAGTGCCAAACTCGATCAGGCCCTAGGCGTATCTGCAGTACAGCATACTATACTGTAATAGCAATAATGAGAGATAATTCCTTCATGGATGAGCTACTCTAAAGAAGTAAAGCCCAAGAAGACACTTCAGTGTGCTTTTACTTCTTGTCAGTCGGAGACTTTCGTGCCAAGCTCCCCATCCGAGGTAAATGGGTTAATGCATTGACCTTGGACACAAGATTTATTCCCCCTAATCCACCTTTCACTAAAGACATTACCTGAACATGGATAAAGGCTGAGATAAAGGATGGGACTGAAGAAAAGTGAAAAGTTATTAAATGATCCGGTAAAATAATTGTTAGTTTTAATCTCTGTATGTGGTTTTAGACATATTAAACTGAGTCAGCAAAAGACAGGTAACAGGCTTTTTGCTTTACCAAGCCAATAACCAACGGAAACCCTCTGGTGAGTGTTTCAGCAGATCAAAATAATTGCCCTAAAGTCAATACAAGGCAAAGCAGGACAGGACATGTTCATTGATTTACAAACACACTAAAGGCTGACGTGGCTTTTAGAGATAAGGAAATAGTATCAGGAAAAGTGTGAACGCGCCTTTGACCTTTGAGTTTCCTTCCTTCGAAAACAAGTTAAGAAGAGGCACCTTTGTCATAACAAAACATGATTCATAAACTTGAGAAAAAAGGGGCATTCTGGGAATCGACACTATAATCAAAGATCCAGGAATAAAAATGTTTTGCAATGCTTTTAACTGTATGATTAAGGCGTAAAAAGCAACAACAAAAGATTTAAATTACTCAGAGTGTTAAGGATATGTAGTTTCTATTTTCAAATGCAATAGACCCCTGAGATACAGCACCAAAACCTCAAATCAAGGCCATAATTATCACTTTTAACTGGAACAGATATTTATATGGTGAGGATGTTTGTCCATTCAGCCTGTGAGCAGTGCAAATCTGAATCACAGTTATGTTTGAAAGCCAGCTGCTGCAGGGGCCTGTCGGGCTTCACAGTCATTAATTGTTTCAAAGGAATGGGAGAGCAAATGGTATTAAAATACTGAGCTACGTATCCACCCAGCTTAGTCCAAAAATACTCTGTAATGCCCCTGGCTTCACAGTGTCCTGCCCCAGCCAGTTGCACTGGGTCTGGTCTCCAGACCGCCCTGAAAACATTTCCAAGTCCTGATTCTGTATGTGATGAATGAATACATCGCTTAACCCTTTACACTGCAGCAGCCGATGGTGGAAGGACTCGCTTTTTTACTGTGAAGAGCTTTGGGTCGTTTTTAAGTATTTGTCTGACAGCAGCAGTGTAACATCTGTATGCGTACATGTTTCTCATTACACAACATGCAAATTGTTATTTTTAGTGAGAAATAAATCTACGGTAAAGGAATGTCAACGTTTCCATTACTGACACTGTAGCTCTTCACACCAGCCATAAATCATTTACATGGACCTTCAGGTTGTGGGTGTGTATCTGTGTGAACATGAGCGAGCATGTTGCTTTAAAATGAAACTGAGGACATTTTAAGGATAGGTTGACTGAGCATGTGTTTTCTTCTCTGTAACCCTTTGCATTACATACACAGGTGACTGCACAACGTTTATTGTTAGCTATACAGCAGCTCCACTGGGGACACTGCTGGTTTAGTGCCGTTTTTTTAAAGGGCACATTGACATCTTTGAGTACCTCCTTTTTAAACTCATAAACAACAAAGTTGACATAATAACACCCTCCATACTGCCACATTGCTCTAAATGCTTTATTAAGCTAAATATAATGCACAACTTGTCTAATGTGGTCAAATTGGACCAACTACAGTAGCATCTGTATTTTCCCCAAACATTGCCGTTCAATCAAACACAATATGCTGTATTTAAAAACTGTAAACTTCATATGAAGTAGAAATCTAAAGTGCTTATAATAAAGGATATAAGACAGCAAGCAAGTCGATAATAATGCAATAATGCACGATAACACTTTTCTTTCACAAAGAAAGTCCAGTGTAAGAATAATAAGATATAATAATTACATATTAAACACTTTTCAATATTTACAAAAAAAACCTTCAACTTGTCAAAGCCTTTCCCAAATATTTTTGGTGATATTATTTGGAACAGCCATTTCTGAAACATACAGCATCCTTTACTTCTATCACCCTTCCAGACCCCGAACCCTTAGTGCGTTTAAATCCATTTAAACCTTGTATATCATATCCACACATGTCTGAAACTTTCTCATCTTCATACTGTATTCCTTTAAGTGTCACTTCCTGACCAACAGCATCATCACAAGACCAAGACCGGCAGTCATAAATCTTTTCTTCACTGATAAAACTCAGCACTTTGAATCTGGACCTGCAGCGGATGCCTCTATCCACCCAGGACCATATCCTTCACATATAAAAGCAGTCGAGTCTTTCACATGTTCGTCTTTCAGAACAAGTCTATCTCTTTTTCCTCTGCTGCCGCTGCACCTTTCTCCTTTTAAGGATCATGTCATAGAGTCTATCCAAGCCCTCCCTTAGTCCATCGCCTATGATGGCGCAGGTTGGCTGCAGGTGCCAGGGAGTTGCAGGGCCCAGTTCTTTCAGAGCCAGTAATTTCTCAATTTCAGCAAGTCCCAAAGAGTGTCTCAAGTCCTGTTTGTTGGCTACCACCAGCAGGGGCACCCCCTGGTTTTCAGAGGTCTTGGCGATTTTATGGAGCTCCGTTTTGGCCTCCTCCATGCGCTCCGCATCTACAGAGTCCACCACGAATATGATGCCGTCCGTGCATCGCGTGTACGACTTCCACAGGGGGCGTAGCTTCTCCTGGCCACCTACATCCCAGAAGTGGAACATTACAGACCTGTGGCCGCCCAGAGACACTCTCACCTTCTCCGCATTAAAACCTTTGGTGGGCACCGTGTTCACAAACTCATTGAACTGCAGTCTGTACAGAACGGTGGTCTTGCCTGCAGAGTCCAGGCCAAGGATGGCGATGTGAAACGACTGGAAGAATGAGACGTTTGAGACGAAGCTAGGTTGTTCAGACAATCCATTCCCCATCTTTCCTCATGAGGGAGGATTGGTGGTTTGGGAGATTTGATCCTATTCCAGTCCAGCACAAATCCTCAGAGCTGCTGATATTCCAAAAAGGCTCCAGCAATTACCTGAAAGCAAACTGCAAGTGTTATTGTGGGTGAAACAGAAGCAGTAGCAATTAAAGCAAGACTATGTTACTTTGACTGTGGCCAACAGTTGCAATTACAGGATCATGGAAGATCACATTTCCCTACATTCACTTGTGTCTTTTGCTTTGTCATTGGGTAAACATGACCACACGTAAGAGAAGAGTCATAAAGTCAACACACTTAGTAATGAAAGTTACAAAACAACATCTATCTAAACTTTGCAAACATAAGCCGCCATCAAATGATGTTAATACTAGATAGTGTAGAGGGAGATTTTTTTAAATAATCAATAGCTCAAATCCCTGTGAATAACTTGATAGGGTCTTTATTACTTGCAAAGCAAAATGAGCATTAAATCATCATGACAGTAATATCTTAGTGTTTTTTTATGAACATGATAACATTTGAAATCTGGTGACATTCAATCAGATTTCACCCGCAGTTCTCTTGTTTTTGCTTTGAGAAAGGAGACATATGAGGACCAAAACAAATGGGCATATTCATTTTACATGTCACTCAGTCCAAGTCCACAATCCACAGTTGTGTGTCACCTAACATCCTCAACGACAAGGAAAGACTTTTGAGCAATAAGCAATAGTCTGAAAACAGAGTCATACTGTATGCTACACAGCTGTATTAGAGCCAAATAATTAGCCAATGTACCATGGCAGAAAACAACATTTACTTAATTTCACACAATGAGGAGTTAACAGCCACCATACATCGAAAATAACTTCTTTATATTCAATGTAACATTCCTACAGGAGCCCTGTTTGCTAGTGTTGCAGTGTGTTACTGTCCTTTTAGTATACAACTACATCCCTCATTATATTTTAAAATAGGGCTTATTTTCCAGTCAATCTGTATTTTACCCATATGAGGTAAGAGTACATCTACAGAGGATTCACACGACAAGTGAGCAAAGGCATTTCAATGTACATTCCAAAATGTGCTACCTCTCAATCTGAGCCATCTGTAGAGAAAACACAATACACCTAATACTTTCTGAACAGAAACGCAGTCCTTTATCGTGTAAACACACCAAAATTCAACTCACAGTGTATTTACGCCTTGTATGTCGGCCACAACGACAGCAAATCCTTCCTCTGAAGCGGACACAACCCTCCCTGTCTGTCCTCTGTGTCCCAGTGTGAATCCAACGCTGATGACACTGCTGTCAGTCTGGATAGACGCCCACACGAACACTGCGGGTGCTTTCTATTGGTGCGTTTACTAGATTCTCCGACAGGTGATTGGCTAAAACGGCTGTCAATCACATGTCTAGCCCGGGAACTAGGATCACCTGTTGCTCTGTCTGTCCGTCACACTACTTTACTTTTGACATGAATAATGTGTCGTTATTGATCCAAGATAAATGTGGTAAGGGAACCCAATATTTTTTAAATCGATGTTCTTTGTTAAAAACGACTGGGAGAGGCAACAAAGGTACATTTCATTTAAAAGTTGTGATTGCAAATGCTATAAAAAGGCACTTTTTACGTTGATCAGTAATGCATTGTATCAGCAAATGTCCAATACAGTTGATCTGACAAAAGATGTCGTCCAAGAGCCCTAAAACACTTCTAAATACCAGCCATTTTACAAGCTTGATCCTTCACAACATTCACGGTATTTCTAGCCCACATTCAACCACACACGGACATTCAACTAGCATAGAAACACCACGATATGCTAGTAGATTAGCTATCTTAATAGCCACACCAGAATAGCCGTTAAAATTAAAACGTACCGTAGGTTCAGCGTGTCGAGTCAGCGTGTTTTCCCTTTTCTGTCCGTTTTTGTGTATAGAGAATGCAGTGTGTGTGTGCGTGTGTGTGTCTGCAGAAACAGCGCCGCCCCATGCGTGTTTTTGTTTAAAATGATTGGTCAGAAAAGCAGGAAAAGCACCACGCTACTACGACCCATCATGCATGAAGGAATGGATAACAACACCAGAGGCTTACATAACCTGTCTCTGTTTTTAAGCTCTTGTGTAGCCTTTGTCGCAAATTGTTTATTTTCACGCAGAAATAAGTACTTTAACAAGAACATGGTCCTGTTGTGGAAGAAGTACTCTTGTAATAGTCAGAATACCACAGTGTAGACATACAAACAAGTTAAATTCATACATTTCTTAAGTTAAAAAGTATTAGCACTAGAATATATTAGAGTACAACACACGATTTATTATTCAGAATGTATGGTCCAAGTATAATGAGTAATATTTATTATTTTAATTATTGATTAATTAATGCATTCATTACGGTATGCTTGTGGATAAGCTATCAAATCCCTCTTCTTTTTGTTTCTAAGCTAATTAAACATGTTAACAATTGCCAATTTTAAGTCATACTGACCACTCTTAAAATCTTACATATAATAGAAAATAACAAGTAAGAGCTGAAACCTTTCAGATTTTGTTTAGGGTTTATTACATTGTTTTGTTTGCTTTTTCTCAAGTAGTTAAGTGCTAATTTCCTGAAGCTTACTTTATAAGAGGATTTAACAGACTCGGATTAAGTTTATTGTTTTTCAAGGATTTTTCTTAACGTTACTATCTGTGTTTTCCCTTTTTAAAGATTGTTCACAACTGCCAAGACACGTTTGAACCTATGATTTGAACACAACAGCTCTGGTAAGTATCTTTATTTGCCATGCATGAGATGGAAGATTACATTACATTGTTCAGCATTTGACTGGATAACAGGGGATTCAAATAACACAAACACATGGCAGCGTGTGGGTCATGAGGTTTAATGCAGTGACTGATATTCTTTTCATTTTATATTTAGTCTGCGAGTTATGCCCAGAGTCACGGATTACTCCTTGAACGCATATGTTCAGCTATTTCAGATATGCTTCGAACATGTGCAGGCTTCGCGTGTTTATAATTCTTGGGGAACCGGGTGAGCAGCTGTCTGAGTGGGCGTCTTAATGTGGTTTTATGACCTTTATGACCCCCAAAGTCCCTGCATGTTGACCGCCAGAACCTTAAAGCTACTAGAATCTCCAAATATGTCCCTATTTGATCATTATCAGGGATATGTACATATACATTTGATTTTTAAATAAGTAAAAAAGACAAAGTTAGGATCTATTTTTCCATGATCTTGAGAGTTTCTCTTCCACACGATCCAAGAATGCACTGTACGCTCCTCTTCTGCATCTGTGTCTCTGTGAAACAAATATTCAACGTCAGTATTAAAACAGACGAAGCCCCAAACTGTCTAAATTGCAGTTAATAATACATATTACAATTATATTCAAATATAACAGGCAGCTTCAGTCAGGAGATCTAAATTAACAGGGTGTGTTTCCGCTTTCTACATTAAGCACCAGATACCACATGTTTTTTTGGTGGGAGTAATTAGTAGGTTAAATGTAAGTAGAGCTTTTATTTTATTTTCTATACCACACTATAAGAGTAATCCATTACAAGAAAACCAACTAACTGACACAATTTGACATAGTATTTTTGTATGATGCCAAAACACCACTGACAGTATAGGAAGCTGATTTTGGGGGCCAGAGCAGCGGAGGGAGTATGAGCCTCGCATCCCATCTTGGCTCGGCAGCTCTATATGTGTCCATCCCTTTCTCGGTATCACTTGAAGTTAGGTCTGACCTGGTGGTAGTGTTTTGAACTGGAAAAATGTAATATATTCATTCATTCAGTACAGCACACATGGAAACATTCAGAATACCATATTCTTAGACTTAGATTGATCGGAAATACACTCAAAAAATGACAAAACATGAAGTTAATCCACTCACTAATGTCCAAGTGCTTCAACTTGAAATGCAGGTTACCAGGATCTCTTTCGTATGTAGTAACTATGTCTGGAAGGTCCTCATTGAGCTGAAATCAAAGTTGTTTTATTTACTTACTTTTGTGTTTAGCGCCATCTTGTGGACAAATCAAACACTACAAATGCTATATTCTCAAATGTAAGAGTATGACCCTGTCTGCTTTTTTCGATTCATCCTATGTGTTCCTCACAAATATGAACATTTGAATGTACACGAGAAACTTACAGAAGAAGTTATAAAACGTATTATTGTTTGCAGACACTTACCGGTCTGAAGTTATGTGGTTTTGGGTTCTTGTAAGGCCCACAAAGGTACTTCCCAGTCTTGACAAACATCAGCTCGGACTCAAGAGAATCGGGAGGCCTGTATGATGTGAGGAACTTTGGAGACTCTTCTCTTCGGAAACCCTCATGTAAAACCCTTGGTAGAAATGTTCCAGTTTTCCTCTGTGCTTTACTTGAAGGTGGTACTGCTGGATTTGAATGTGTCTTTCTTTCTTCCTTCTGAGGAACTGACAGAGACCTGTACAGTTTAAGAGAGAAATCTGGCGGTTTGATCCACACGTCGCTGTGGCTCTCAGTCTCGGGGTCGGGGAGTTGAAACCATTTGCTCCTTGAATAAGAGAGATGCTGAGTAGCAGAGAATTCCGTTTTTTCTTCCAAGCACACTTTGGACATCGGATGCAATAAACTGTATGGAGCCATGATTGTTGATTAACAAAGGTATTTGCTTACCTTGAATTCACTACAGATATCCCCTGATTTGTCTTAGTTTAAATCCAGTTTGAGCTTGTATTGTTAGGATGTCAGGAACACAGTGAAAGGAGCAGACAGTGGTACAAGGGTTGATTACAGGCACAACATATAAAAAGTGCTGCTTGGTAACGAGTGTCTTTAGTCTTCTTAACAAAAAGTGGGCTGAGCTCAGTGGGACAATAAAACAAAAACTTAGCAACTGTCCAAACAAAGGCCCTCTGAATAGAAGAAATCATGGCATCTTCTGTATTTATAATCGTTCTTTCAGGCTTGATAAAATACATCTTTAAATTTAGTTTCACTTTTACACATTAAGAAAATTATGTAAACGAATGCAGGACAATATAAAAAGATACTTATATCGTTTTAAAAACTAAAAACAAAGCAAGACACGGAAAGATATTGAGAAAAGAGAGTAGTAAAGGGGCAATGTGAATATACACACAATTAAATCAATTAAAACAAACAGACAAACGAGTAAATAAAAGTCAAGACAAACAAATATAAAATCTATAGAAATAGCTCAAACTGTACTGAAGTACATTAATTATGTAGGTGCCCACAGAAAAAAGTGTGTATTCCTTTGCCATGTTGGGATCCTTCCATTAGATGGCAGCATATCCTTCACGTGGTTGCAGTCAGACTAAAGCTCATGCATTGAAAGTATAAAGAGATACCTTGAATTATTTTCATAGAAGCAGTCTTCACTCCTGTTAGTATTGTCCTTTTCTAAACTGTAGTTGTAAAATTCCGACTGAGGCAGAGAATGTAAGGCACTGTAAACTAGGATAGAATTAATGAGATAATTGTTTGAGATAAACTGCCCTTGTTAACTTTACCAACATCATAAGTGCTTACAGTTTGCAAAGTGCAGCGGCGGGCCAGGACTTGGCGTGTGGAGATGATGCTTCTTCCAGACTCAGGGAGCGTAACGCTGACGTCTATAATCACTACATTTCTACTGACTGAACTTCAACAAAGGACAGGGACAAAGTCTGGAAAGAAGCTTAGCTTGTATTGCCTCATAAATAGCCAAATATAAATATACGGTAAAACATTACCGTGCAGCACGCACTATATATCTCACTTTTTTACCTTCATTCTTTCACATGGTCCTTTGTTGAAGCAACCTTACCTTCTATGATGGATTTAAAATATGTTAGACATGCCTCTTCTTTACATTTCTCTGGATGCTATAAATTATGATTATTATCCCGTTATGTATACATCACTGTGATCTTTATCAACAGCTTTTTAAGATGTTCATCAAGTTTAAAGCTGTATTCATCAATATTTGTATATTAACAAAATTCATGAATACCTTTGATGGGGAAGTATTGCCTCCCAAAATCAGCAATAACTTATCAAATCTAATCAGATCATTTTTTCAGCAAATTGTTTTGGTGTTTCTCAGTCTGTAACATTGTGTTTTGATTTCCTCTCAGTGCTCTCATCAGCATCCTTTCGAGTTGTTTACCTGCCTCCAATTGGACAAAAATAAATAAATACTTCTTTAAATGAAGGTCACAGAAAAATGGACGAGGCAAGTAAAACAGAAAGATAAATCAGCATCAGCAATAGTAGTCTATGGTTGTGGATACGTTTGGAATTATTACACAAAAATAACGTTATACTGTATGTAGTAAAAATATTTTTAGCTTTTTAAAAAACATTTTTTTTAAGGCAACATATTTCCCTTGAGGAGTCATTGTAACCTTGGTCTTAGCTCCTGTATTGGTCCAAAAGTGTTATGATTATGGAAGAAAAACGGTTACATCAGAGGTCTGTGTTTCACCAGAGCCAGACAGACAGTGAGCAGAGCAGCTCCCCTCATGTAAACACGGTTCTGTACGAAGCAGTTTTCCCAGACAGTTGTTGCAGCAGTCCCTTTGTGTATCGACTCTGACAGCTGACACACGGGGGCAACAGGAAACCTGAGCTGAGAGCAAACAGCGCCTGTGAAGGAGCTGACCCCTCCAGCCCTGTTAAACCAGGAGCTGCCACCTTCAGGGGCTCCTCTCGACCCCTCAGCTCCGTGTCTGAAAATCTACCATTGTATCCAGTGACATTTACAGCCACTGCAGTCAGGCCTCGGCTGTAACAATTACAGGAGCCTTTTGTCAGACGTGACAGGCTGAGTGGCTTCAAAGACGTCTCCATCATGTCACTCTGACAACTTGATGGAGCCTAATTGCATTGTTGTTGGAGAAAAAGGAACAAGATAAATCATGCTGTGACACACAGAAGCTTTTTAAAAGATGGTTATGTAACTGCTGAATAAATTAGAAACAAGCTGAAACAGATTACTGTGCTGAGGAAACCATCTTCCTGCTTCTCTATGATGTCGTGTCAGGAGGACCTCCATCTGTGTTTACTGTTATTGAGCACTGTCACTGAGGCAAGAGAGGATTTTCTCTTTCTACCATCACTGCCCATTTCCTCAGATCAGAGGCTCCTTTTCCCTTTCATATTTGCTTTCATTTCAGGTCAGGCAGAGAAGAAGGTATACTGTAAATCAAGGAAATGTGATAAACCAGGAAATATCATAAATGTTGATAAATCACTTGCGTTTTAAATGTTCACGTGTCATTTAATGATGAAGAATCTTCCTTTTCTTCTATTTTTCCATCTTCATCCGCTTAAGCTTTTACTGATTTATTTTCAGATCAGGTATGTTTTTTTCAAAACCATAACAAAACCTTGGAAAAAATGCAAAATAACAATAACAGAAGTCATTATACAGTATGTCTAGTTTTGGTTAGAATTTAGATGTAGTTCAATTTGGTGAAAATAGTACTTTTGACAGAATTTAAAGGATCTGAAAACATATTTTTTCAATCATGAAAACAGTTTTGGTTTCACACGATAGCTTTCTTTGCTGCCCTCACTTCCCTCACAAGTTTAAATTGGGAAGAATAGGCTTTGACAAGATGATATATTTTGGTGGACTAATCAGAGTATTGCAACAATCCAATAACAGTTTGTTTGTATTGACAGTTGTGTCTGACTCTGGTAGGATTAGGGGATGTGTTACTGCATCATGGGTCGGGGTATGTGGAGGGAGTCTGGAGGCTGCATGTCGGTGGTAAAAGCAGGAATAGCTTGTGTCATGACCCAGCTGCTCTCAGGTCACACTTGTCCTCTAACGTATCTAAAATAAAGCAGCTCCTTCTCGCGGGAACAAAACAAACCCACACTGAGCAGTTCTTACGTGTGATTTGCTCTTCACAGGTGGAAAGTATAATTAAGTACATACGTTTTTTTTTAAATACTGCACAATTCTGAGGTACTGTTACTTGTTACTAGTTTCTTTCATTATTTGCCCCTAGGAGTGTACATGTTGAGATACATATCTGGCATGTATTCGTTTTGGACCGGGGTTTTAGGGCTGATTGATCTGTACTTAAATAATGTTCTTGTGCTTTTCTGCTCCTTATGCCCTTTAAAGTTGTACAAACAGTTGTCTTGTCAGTGGAGGTTAGGGTAATTGCATAGAGTTTGCATTTCCTGCATCATTTAGCTGATATCACATTTCCCAGGGGACACTGCAGTGCTGCCATTACTCCCACGACGCATAACTGATTATAATGAGAGAAAATTGCACAAAATGAGCTCATGTGTAGATTATAGAATCAAACAAGCCAATTATCCCCATTTAGTTACCACTTTTCTTTGCTCCCTGGATGTAACTTGAAAGCTACAAACTCATGCATGCCATGTACTGTTTATATGGTCACTTGACATAGATGTTTTCCATATGGGAGATTGAATTGCCGGTTGTGTAAGAGGATGCATGAGCAGACGGGAAGAAATTGGGTTTCTACCTGATGGCTATTCCAGGCTCTGAGCAGGTTGATGGTCCAGGAGATTTACGAGGGAGGGGTTATACCTCTCCTCGTGTGGGAGTCCGACAGACGAGCGTCTCACCAAGACATTCAGGCACCTCCACGTTGAGAGAAGACTGTCTACGACCTGCACAGCTGTCAGCTTACCACTGGTCCTCTGCAGACCTGCAGGAAGGACTGTCCGAAGGGTTAGTCATCATCGTTAATCACAGACTATTGTCTTACTGACTTTATTGAAACTCAACAGTGCACTTAAATATTCCTCCTGCTTATTATTGGCAACAATCACCAGTCTAGGTTTTAAAGAAAGGTTTCACTTCAGCAGAATTGTTCTCTCTACTTTAGAGTTAGTTTCTCGGTTTGAACAAGCTAAATATTTTAATATCTTGATAAATGTTTAATAATTTCACTCTCTTTACAGGCAAAATTATGGTGCTGGTACCGGCCTATGAATACAAAATATATTCTTTCCCCATCTTTGGCTCTGGGAAATGTTGGTGGGCATATTTTCATTAGTCTCTCAATTTAAAAAGCGACATGAGTAACCACTTAATAAAGATATAAGTAAATCAAATGTTTAGTAGTAGCCCTAAATTGCTCTGTGAACATATTTGAGACAACATCTGGATAGCTGCTTATATTTGACTGTATTCTCACAGTGATTTGAAGACTGCATCTCATCAATCGTTTTAGCTTTTATATTAGCATAACTAGGGGGTTCTAGGGGGGGGGGGCCAGTGCTTAACACTGACCTCTGACCCCCCTGTGGCCCCCCTAACAATGAAACGTTTTTTTTTTTTTTTTTTAAATGTATATTTTCTGGTACTCGGTTTGCTAAAAACCGCAGGATTTTGTTGCTGTAATGTGAGATTGTGCAGACACCCTTATGTAAAGTAGAGATGTAACTGTTCATTGCCTTTATTTTTATATAAATATGGTGTGAGTGCAAACATTGCACTATAACTTAAGCTGAAGCTAACAGTAATAACTATAAGATCTATCTGAAATAAATAAGTGTACTGAAACAAATACCAATAACTGTATTGCATTGTTTTCTTATGCGCAATTACTTCATACTGTCTAGTTCTCTTTTTCGTCCTGCATTTATTGTGCCCCCCTCAGAAAATAACTGGCCCCCCAGTGGTCCCGCAGTCAAATTGGTCTAGAACCGCCACTGTAACTGACC